ACCCACCCATCCATCCATCCACCCACCCACCCATCCATCCATCCACCCATCCACCCATCCATCCATCCATCCACCCATCCATCCACCCATCCTCTACCTATCATTCACCCATCCACCCATCCTCCACTTTTCATCCATCCATGCATCCATCCATCCACCCATCTACCCATCTACCCATCATCCATCCATGCATCCATCCATCCACCCGTCCTCTACCTATCATCCACCCATGCACCCATCCTCCACCTATCATCCATCTATCTGTGCATCCATCCACCCATCTACCCATCATCCATCCATGCATCCATCCATCCACCCGTCCTCTACCTATCATCCACCCATCCACCCATCCTCCACCTATTGTCCATCCACCCATCCTCCACCTATCATCCATCTATCTGTGCATCCATCCACCCATCTACCCATCATCCATCCATGCATCCATCCATCCACCCATCCTCTACCTATCATCCACCTATCCACCCATCCATCCATCCACCCATCCTGCACCTATCATCCACCCATCCATCCATCATCCATTCATCCACCCATCCATCCACCTATCATCCATCCATCTACCCATCCATCCACCTATCATCCGTCCATCCACCCATTGTCCATCCTCCACCTATCATCCACCCATCCACCCACCCATCCAACTATCATCCATTCATCCTCCACCTATCATCCACCCATCCACCCACTCATCCATCCACCTATCATCCATTCATCCACCTATCATCCATTCATCCACCTATCCATCCACCTATCATCCATCCATCCATCCACCCATCCTCCACTTTGCATCCATCCATCCACCCATTCTCCACCTATCATCCATCCATCCACCCATCATCCATCCACCCATCATCCATAAATCCATCCACCCATCATCCATCTACCCTCTAGATATTATTGAGTACCTACTATGTTCTATCCACTATTACCAGCCCAAAAGGACAGACATAGTTCTAGTTCAGTCTCAGCCTTCTCTGATGCTGATTCCCCAGTGATGTGCATGGAGGAATTTGAGGGGATCCCTAGGCAGGTCCTGGGGTGCTGGACCTTCCTGCTCTATGAGTCCTCCATCTTCTCTCCAGGCTCCATCACTTTCTAGACCTTGTGCTTGCCAGGCAGGCACTGTGCCGCTGAGCTAAATCCCCAGCCCCCCTGTGAAGTGTTGACAGCATCCAGACTGGCTTCATACTCAGGATCCAAGGCCAGGCGTGGTGGTGCATGCCTGTAATCCCAGCAGTAGGGAGACTGGGGCAGGAGGATCCCTGCAAGTTCCAGACCAGCCTGCACTAAATAGTAAGTTTAAAGTTGGCTTAAACTACAGTTAGACCCTGTCTCAAAATAAAAAAAAAAAGCCAGGCATGGTGGCGCATGTCTGTAATCCCCAAACTTGGGAGGCTGAGGCAAGAGGATCGTTGTGAGTTCGAGGCCAGCCTGTGCTACAAAGAGCTCAAGGCCAGCCTGAACTTCATAGCAAGACCCTGTCTCAAAAAGACAAAAAACAACAACAACAAAAAAACCAGAAAACAACACTCATGACCTTTCTGCCTCAGCCTCCAAGCTGCCAACATTACAGGGATGTGCGACAACCACCAGTCGCTCCACCCCCCACCCCCCACCCTCAAGCCATGTCACCGTGTGCTCTGTACACACGTGGCATGAAGAGCCAGGAGGTTTGATCACGCATGTGCAGACTCCTGGAGACATCGTCTGGGCTTGCCCCAGAGCACCCCGCTTCTTTGTCCCTTAAATCTGCACACACCTTGTCCCTGGGAGGTGGATTTGAGCTGGGGCTCCCCCTTTAGGGCGCTGCCTTGTGAATAAACTCCCTTCCCCAAAGCCCGGGGTCTCAGCCAGTGGTGCGCTGTGCGGCGGGGCTGGCCAGCCGGAGCCGTTCCTCCAGGGAGGACAACAGTGGAGTTGTGTGGGGATTTCAGTCTGACCTGAGCTCGACCTTGGCCGTCACCTTTGGGGGCCACCATTTTCTTTCGGGCCAGGTTGATGGCTGAGAGCCTGGGGGCCAGAGGGGCCGAGGAGCTGCGGGAGCAGCAGTCACAGCGCCTTGTGGGTTGTGAGTGCCGGTCGTCTCACAGCTGACCCGGAGTCAGTCCCTGTGTCTCTTCCATCTGGAGCTTCTGCTACACCTTTCTAGGACACGTGCGAAGGACCTGAGCAGGCACCAGCGCTGTGTGACAGGGACGCCACTTCTGGCGGAGCCTCCCAGCAGGCACGGCCCTGGCTCTGTGACCCGGGCCCTGGCACAGCAGGTGCCAGGGGACGCCGCGTCGTTGTGGTCACTCACCCTCTCCCTCTTTCAGGCACATTTTTCACAAAAGTGGTGGCCGTGGGCAGTGTGGCTCTGAAGCTTGTGACCTGGGACACGGCCGGCCAGGAGAAATACCGCAGCTTGTGCCCCCTCTTCTTCCGGGGCACCCAGGCCGCTCTGCTGGTGTATGACATCGCCAGCAAGGTAGGGCTGGGCCTGCGCGGGCCTCTGTGGGCTCAGGCGCGGGAGCTGTCACTGAGGGGTCGCAGCCGAGCTGGCGCCTGCACGCGGGTGGTCACAGCAGCAGAGACCCTCCGTGAGCGCCACCTCCTCCCCCAGAAGCTCCGGCAGCTCCGGCTGCAGCATGGGGTGCTGTTCCTCCACGGTCCCCTAAGAGTGACCTCTGCCGGCACTGCCACCTGACCCCAGTCCTGGAGGAAACCCGAGGCGGGCCCCAGCTGCACAGCCCTGCACGGCTGCCACCCATATGCTGGAGATGACAGGGAAGCCTGGCTCCCATGGGCCCACGAGGCTGGGCAGCAGCGACAGCCTCCTGGCGGCAGGGTGGCAGTGCGGCGGGCAGGACGGCAGAGCTGGGTGTGAGCATACAGGGGCCGGGGTGGGGTCCGGCTGTGAGTTTCAGACAGCTGCCCCCATACCTCAGCGTTCAGTCTTCCGGGCCCAGCAGAAGCCCCTCCCCTGGTCCGTGGGGATTGCAGGTGGGAGCAGGGCTTGGGTGATGGCTGCTCCCCCGCTCCCTCAGGCACAGAATGGTCCTTGAGGGCCCCCAGCTTGGCTGCGTGGAGGGAGACCAGCACCTCCTTGGGGACGGCGCTGCGGGGTGGACGGCCAGGCTCACCCCAGGACGTTTCGCTGCCTGCTCTGCCCCTGGTGTGAGGATGAGGCCCGTGAGGTCCAGTGGCGTCCTGTTCTCTGCAGGAGGCCTTCCTCAAGGTCCAGCAGGGCCTCGAGGGCCTGGAGAAGGAGCTGCAGTCTGGAGAGGTCATGGTGGCGCTGGTGGGCAACACGGTGGACCTCGAGGAGCAGCGGGAGGTGACGCTCCAGGTACCTCAGGCTGGGGAGGGCGAGTCCTGGCAGAAGCAGGGGCGGAGACACGTGCGCACACAAGCTCACCCTGCACGCACATGTACACACACCTGTGCGCACACATGCTTACCCTGCACACACACCCGTGCACACACACGCTCACCCTGCACGCACATGTACACACACCTGTGCGCACACATGCTTACCCTGCACACACACCCGTGCACACACACGCTCACCCTGCACGCACATGTACACACACCTGTGCGCACACATGCTTACCCTGCACACACACCCGTGCACACACACGCTCACCCTGCACGCACATGTACACACACCTGTGCGCACACATGCTTACCCTGCACACACACGTACACCCCGCATCTTCACACAGCTGCACAACCTGCTCACTCCTGCACACACACACACACACACACGCTCACACCTATACCCATGCATGTACACTCACACTGGCACACACCTGCAGACATGCTCATCCCTGCTCACACGCACTGCACACACCTGCACACTCACACTCACACACACACGTGTACACACACATGCAGGGCCCTGCCCTGGTCGCCTGGTCCCCGAGGTGTGAGGAAGACGCCTGCCCTGCTGCTCCTGCCCCGAGCCCCGTGGCTCTGGATCCCATCGCCGTGGGCAGCGAGTCACGTGGGCGGGACGGAACCTGAGGCCCGCGTGGCTCTGCGCAATGTCGCGCTGGAGCGAGTGCTGCGGACCCGCCTGAGTGCAGCACCGGGCCGACCTGCAGCGCAGGAGGCTCTCAGGCCACGGCCGGAGCACGCACTCTGCGTCCTGGGCCACACGCTGCCCCACGGCCTCCCCTAGGCCCACAGAACCCAGGTCACCAGCCAGCTGCTCCCATCCGAGCCGGTGAAGCAGGGCAGCTCCGGTCGTGGGGGCAGCTGGTGCTCAGCCGTGCATCGTGGTTCCGGACCTCCGCTTTCAAATAATCTCACCTCGTAAAAACGCCCAATGTGCACAAAGAGCACTTGTAACCCCCCCCCCCGTCACACAGGGCCAGGACGGCGACCAAGCCAGGGCAGCCCCTCGCGCAGCACTGCTAACTGCGCCGCACTCTTACGCCAGCTTCGCCCATTTTCCCGTCCACGTCCTTTTCCTGGCTCCTAGCTTTGGCCCCCAGAGCCCCGGGACCCGGCTCTGATGTCCTCCCCCGCCTGTCCTCTGCCGCCTTTGGCTACTCTTCTACCCCTAGAAGCAACCAGTTCCCCGAGGGGCCACAGCTCCTATTATTGGAGAATTAACTTAGGAACCAATGTTTGTGACTAGGGTGCTCACTGCAGGCGGAGCTGGCGGCCGCCCCCACCCTTGGGACCCCTGGGGGACACCCTGGCTGGGGAGGCTGACGGTGTCCACCCTGGAGTGGGGGTGATGGGGGCAGTGGATGGGCAGGCTGTGGGGAGTGGAGCAGGCATCTGCGGGGCCTGGCACAGGTGGGGCCGGGCTGTGCCCTTGTCACCAGTGTGGCCCGAGGGAGGGGGACTGTCTGGGGACCTGGCTGAGAGGTCACATGGGGGGAGGGTGGAAGCTGGACAGACTCGGGCCCAGGGGAGGAGAGCAGCGGGCACGGCGAGGTTGTGAGCCCCGAGTCATGGCTGAGCTCAGTCACGTGGTTCGGGCTGAGCTGCTCTCTGCTGGGAGCCTGGGGGACTTGTGGGGTGCACAAGGCACCCCATTCCTCGGAAGCCCCAGATTCTGGAGTGTGGACTCTGCCCCTCCTCCTTCCTGGCCATACACGGCTTCCACGGGGCAGTGTCGACTTTGCCACCCGTTGTGGTCACAGAGAGGGGCCCCTCCCTCCCCAGCCCCCTCCGCCGTCCCCGGCCGGTGTCTGTGTCCCAGTCGGCCTGGGGGCGGGAGGAGCTAGAGGCGGGAAGTTGCCTTCACAGTTTGGGTCTCCTGCCCGAGCGTGCCATCCCCTCCCGCTGCCCCGCTCCGGCCTGGGCCCGGTCCTCCCGGAGGCAGAGAGTGCAAGGAGCGCGGGGGCCAGGGTCTCAGCCAGCTGCTCCTTGGGTCCTTACGTGGAGGTTGCCCAGGTGCCCCTGAGACACTCAGAGAAACGCTGGGATTTTCCCCAGGGAGGGGAGGGGTTTGCCAAGAGCAGAGCTGCTGTGCAGGGAAACCTCAGCCAGACTGCATCGCGCATGTTGGGTCTGCAGCGCCATTGCTGAGCGGCCATTTGGGGCCACGTGGAGGGTGGGGCTCGGGGACCAGGGGGCAGCCCCGGGGCTGGCAGGGAGCTGTGAGATGGGATCTGGACAGAGCCAGCCCAGTCAGGCTGGTGCTGGGCTGGGGGATGCCCGCCCACCACCCACCAGTGGCCTCCGCCTCTCCAGCCTGGGAGCTGTGTGGAGACGCCCACAGGCCGGGCCCCAGCTCTTGGGGGACGCACCCAGGCAGCTCTTTCTCTGTGGTTTTGTTCTTGTCTTTTTGAGACAGGGTCTCACTCTGCAGTTCACGCTGGCCTTGAGCTTACTTTGCAGCCCAGTCTGGTCTCAAACTCAGAATAATCCTCCTGCCTCAGCCTCCTGAGTGCTGGGATGACAGGCGCGCGCTACCATGCCTGGTGTAAGGCAGCTCTGTTTCTGACAGGGAGCACGGAGACTCTGAGACTGTCACCCTGAGAGGTCGACTGTGCTGTTGAGGAATGCTTTTCCCTAAAAATCAAACTGCTCTGGGCAGTTTGGCTTTGGTCATTTTACAAGGTTGAGAGGGACAGAGCCTGGAGGGCCATATTCTAGGAGGTCTTTCTTTTTCTGTTTGTTTGTTTGCTTTTGTTTTTTTGAGACAAGGTCTCCCTATGTCGCCCAGGCTGGCCTTGAGTTCACAGGGATCTTCCTGTCTCAGCCTCCTGAGTGTTGGGAGCACAGGCGTGCACCACCACGTCCGGCTAAGTGCAGTTTCTCATGGTTACTAAAGTTGGACAGCATTCATGCGATGATTCCTGGGCAGAGGAAGTAGTGGGGCGCATGCTCCGGTCCCCAACTGCGTCCTCTCACCATCCCCAGGCTGAGTGGGGCTTTGCCCCTAGAGGAGGCGCCAGAGCCACCTGAGAGGCAGCTGGAGGCCAGGGCTAACCATGGCCACTAGATGGCGCCCTGACACCTCCTAGGTCAAAGCCAGGCTCCTGGGTCCTGGCTATTCAGCCTCTGCTTAGGAAGCCCCCTGGAAGAACAGAGTAGGGGAAAGGAGTAGAACATTCCTAGCACGTCCATCTACAGATGCTCCTGTTTCTTTTTTTGTTTTTATTTTGTTCTGGGTTTTTTGGAGACAGGGTCTTGCTATGCAGTTCAGGCTGGACTTGAGCTCTCTTTGTAGCCCAGGCTGGTCCTGAACTCGCAATGATCCTCCTGCCTCAGCCTCCTGAGAGCTGCGATTACAGGCCAGCGCCACTGCACCTGGCTCAATTCCTCTTTTTAAAAGTATATTCCCGTGTTTGGGTTCCTAGTGGCCAAATTTAGATGGGTGAGAACATCGAGGGTTATTTGTAAGATACAGAGTGACAACAGCAACAGCAGGAGATCCCGTCCTGGGGAGGCCCTGCAGGAGAATGTTGGGGCACGCGGTCCCCGTGTGCCCCGGGACAGTGTTCATGCATAGGGCCAACCTGGGGCTGAGCGGCTGGGACTGGATGCTGCTGCAGGGTGGGGGCTGCCGCGGCCCGCGTGTGGGCGACACAAGCAGCCCTGGGGACAGGAGGGAGGCTGGCCGGCCACTCTGGAAGGAGGCGGGAGGCTGGGGACAGAGCCGAAGCCCACACCAGGGAGGTCGCCTTGAAGAGTTGGTGTCACGAAAAAATGCAACAGTCAGGCCAGGGGTCAAACAAAAGCAGTGGGTCTGGATCGGAGCCCGGCTGGAAGAAGGTCTTACAAATTCCTTGCTACACCTGGGGGAATGCTGGGGTGGGAAATATGAAATCACTAAAACTTTTTCAGGTATGATTTTGTGGTTATGTAGAAGAGATCTATTTTTATATGATTTTGAGACAGGGATTCATCAAATTGTTGAAGTTGCCCAGGCTGGGCTCAAATTTGTGATCCTCCTGCCTCAGCCTCCCAGACTGTTGGGACTGCATCACATACCACCACGTCCAGCTATTAAAATTATTTTTCAGACTTTTCTGTGTGTTTGAAAGCTGTCATGATAAGGAGCTACAGGAAACACAGATTTCTCTGGACAGATAAGAGAACTTTGTTTGCTGGGGCTGCCCCTCACAAAGTGCCACAGCCGAGGGCCCCATCAGGAGACACAGGTGGTCTCCAGTTCTGGAGGCCGAAGTCGAGAGCAGGTGCGGCAGAGCTGGTCCCCGAGGCTGTGGGTGCTGCCCTCTACCCAGGAGAGGCCCAACCCGAGCCCTGACACCTCATGAGGCCCTGAGGGAGGAGTCTCAACGTGATTGGCGTTAGGGTCAGCTAGGCGATTGGTGGAGCATCTCGGGGTGTGTTGAGCGGACCGTGGGGGCGTGGCCTTGGCGTTGAGGTGGGTCCCCGGCCCTTCCTCTGGGGCCTTGGTCTCCTCTTTGCTTCCGGCCCCGTGAACCCAGCAGCTTTGAGGCCGGAAGCGCTGCGGAGAAGGCTGGAGGTGCAGGAGAACGTTCGCTCCTCCTGAGCCCACTTTGAGGGCTGTATCGGCGGCATCAGGGAACCAAGGAAACGGCTGGGGAAACGGAGGGCCGCCTTGGAGCTGCCTTCTGAGGGGTCTGAGGACCAGGATGCGCAGTTCTCAACGCATGGGAAAGGATAGTAGGGAACTTAATTTTTTTTTTTTTTTTGTCTTTTTGAGACAGGGTCTCGCTATGCAGTTCAGGCTGGCCTTGAGCTCACTTTGTAGCCCAGGCTGGTCTCGAACTCGCAACAGTCCTCCTGCCTCAGCCTCCCAAGTGCTGGAATTACAGGCGTGTGCCACCACGCCTGGCTGCAGGGAATTTAGCTTTTGCATGGTGAGTCCTGTGCATGCTCCCGTAGTCACTGCAGCCCTTGGCATCCCCAGCCCTCATTATCATGCCGTGGACTATGCAGCTGAACTTGTGGGCTCTGGGTGCCGTGGCAGCTCCCCCAAGGGTCATAAAAGGTTAAAAACCCCACAGCCTGAAGGAGAGACCAAGACAAGCCCCTCACTGGTGAGAGTCAACCCTCAGACCAAACCCTCAATCCCACCCCAAAACCCAAGGCTTAAAACCCTCAGTACTGAGCATCTTTGGGTCATGAGCTCTTCTTTTGGCCCCCTCTCACCCTGTGGAACGGATCTTGTCTTTTCTCTTTCAAATTAGTCAAATAAACCTGCAGCTCTTCCACGTCGGGCTCAATACTGTGTTTCCCCAAGGACCTGCACAAGACCCAGGGGTTACAGCTTCACTCCAGCAGGCCTTTCTGCTGTGCTGTTCCAGCCAGCCACGGACTGCACCCCTGGAAGCCTTGAGCCATGCTAACCCTGTCCTCTGGCATGGTGTGCTGTTGGGTATTGTGTCCCAGGGATGGGGAAGCTGACCAAGATGCCTCCTGCGGGTGAGAGGTCCCCAGAGCCCCCACGGGGGCCAGGGAAGCCTTTGGCCACCGCCTCCAAAGGACAGAAGTGGTTGCTGCACTTGGGTGGAGGTCACTGGCCCTCCTGTCCCTCGCTTTGCAGCCCCTTGGTCCCAGCACAATGGACCCCTGCTTGGGCTGCTGCCAGAGGCCCCGAGCCATCTGCAGATGTACCAGCCCCCACCCTCCTCACCCCCTACAGTGTGCCCCCGCGCTGCCCACCTAGCAGCCCATCCCTGGCCTCAGGGTGCTGGACACACCCTCACAGTCTGTCTGCAAGTTTCCCTTCGGGCTGTGGTTGTTTTCTACTCATCTCTGCAGTGCAGTGGCTTTTTGATCATTCACCACATTCTTCAGCCGTTGTCCAGGCGTCCCCAGACATTTTCATCACCCCAGGAGGAAGCCCCATACCCATTAGCCAGCCGCTCCCCAGCCCCTGGCAGCCCCGATCGACCTTTGCCTCTGTGAAATTGCATATTCTGGACATTTCATGCGTGTGGAATCCTACCGCGTGTGTGGCCTTGTGTGTCTGGCTTCTTTCCCTCTGCACAATGCTTTCAGGGCTCACCTGGCTGCAGCCGAGGTCAATGGCTCCTCCTTTTTCATGGCTGAATAACATTCCACGGCGCGGCTACCCCGTTCATTGTAGAGGGATGTTGTGGAATATTTATGCCCCTCCCCAAATTCAGGTTGAAATTCTTACCCCCATGTCACAGGCAGGGCCTTGGGAGGAGAGGAGGCTGAGGACGGAGGCTTTTTGGACAGGATTAGTGCCCTTCTGAGAAGAGACACAGGAGGAAAGACCTCTCTGCCTGGGGTGCACAGGAGGAGACAGCTGCTGATCATTCAGGCCGCAGCCCTCACCCCGCTACACTGGAGTCTGGACGCCCAGGCCCCAGAGCCCCGGGAACTAACCACTCACTCCAGCAGTGGAATTGGGGGGGCACTGGGCTGTGCCTGCCTTCCCACCACTGGCACGGCACCTGCTTCTGTCCTGGGAGTGGGCACCTTCCGAGGACCCCAGGATCCTTCCTGGGCAGAGCCCGCTCATGGCTGGCGCCTCCTGGTGTCCACGGCAGGAGCGACCTGAGCGGAGCCTGAGGACTAGGCCGTGCCACCCTTTCCCGGGGCAGTGCTGCAGTGTGCCGCTTGGGGACCCCTCTGGTTTGTCACCACGCAGTCGCCGATGGGCATGGGCAAGGCCAGGCTTTTATTAGCTCAGAGGGCAGGCAGCCTGCGGAGGGCCGGGGAGGCTCCTGAGCTCCCGTCCTCATGACTGCAGCCGGTACCCGTCCTGGGGGAACGTGAGGCCGTTGCCTGGCACCCGGTGGCAGATCAGTAGGCATCGCGGGCTGGGCCTGGGCACCTCTCGCAGCGTCGCCCCCCTCCGGCCGAAGCGGCCCACGGGCCGGATGCCGCGGCCCGCGTACCAGGCAGGGTTGATGTCGGGGGCTGGAAAAGAGAAGCCCCGTCCCCGGCTGTGCCACGTGCGGGTGTCAGGCCCAGGCCCTCGATCTCCACGCCCCTGGGCCCTGGGCTGCTGGGCGGTGCTGTGGCTCTGGGAACCGGATCCAGACCTCGCCAGGGGCAGGGTCCCCTCCGGCTTCCGCCCGGGGTTCTCCAGGGATCAGGCAAGCTGAGCAGGGCACAGGGGTGGCGCAGGAGCCAGGGCCACTTTGGGGAGAGGCCTGTCCAGCAGGCGTCATCTAGCAGGCGGTCAGCGCCCGGGCTGGGGCTCCAGGCTAGGCTGGGTGGGGCGGGGGCGGGCAAGGCGGGCACTCACTGCGGACCTCCATGGAGTGCTGCCGGGCTCGGCTGGCAGCTGCCCGCAGGTCCAGGGCCAGCAGCAGCAGGCAGAGCAGCCAGGCCCTCGGGGCCGTCATGGTGACCTCGTGGATGGGGCCCTCCGAGACGGACCCACACGGCGAGGCTGCAGCCTGGGGCACAGGGGCAGGAGGAGTGAATTACGCACGAGTGTACGTGTACACAAACGTCACCAGGGTACTGTGCATACGTGTGTGCATGTGACCTGTGTCAGAAAATACCGTGTGTTTCAATGGAAAGTGTGTTATAGTAAAACATACATTGTCACGAGTGCCCCTCGAAATCCTCCCGTTAAGTCCGACACACTCATCTCCTCGCCCTAGCCGCTTTCTGCAGCAGCTCTGGAGTCCTCTTTCCTGAGAGTCTTTAGCTGCACTGCCCTGGCTGCCTCGATGTCCCCATTCAGAATGTTTCCATTTCACGGTCGGTTTGAGGTTGGGGAGAGCCGGAAGTTGCCCGGTGCCAGGTCGGCGCCGTGTTTCCTGACCCTGTCTCTCCGCTGGGTGGCGCTCAGCAGCAGCGTGACCGTATTTCTGATCCCCTCCCCCCATAAAGACACAAAGACATAAAAGAGGACTCCAGCGGCAAGGACGAGGGCAGAAGTGTGTTCAGAGTATTCTGAGGGGAGTAATTAAGCCATCTCTTTTACCCTAATAAATATTTAAAAGTTTAAAAGCTGCCCTTTGGGCCACCCATCGTGTGTGACAGTGTGAGCCGAGTGTGTGCCCAGGTACACAGAGCCCTTGTCCCTGGGTGTCCTCCGATCTGTCCTGAGCCTGGGCTCTGTGACCTTCTTCACCCTCGGTGAGGACCCATGCCCTGTGGGCGCATGGGGGTGCCCAGTCTGTCTGCCTGGCTGCTGTGGGCCCTGGGGGTGCTGGCCAGGCCTTGGCGGGGGAGGCCAGAGGCCGGCAGGCTTGTGGGGCTTGGCCGGAGGATCCTGAGGATGGCAGAGGTCCCTCTGGGCAGAGGGGACTCGCCTGGGGCTGCGAAGATGCGGAGTGTGGGGCTTCCTGCACAACCCTTTCCCGGGGAGCACCTCACGGACCCGGGACTCTCCTCCCAGGGCAACACGCCACTGCTGACGGAAGTAGGTCCTCAGGAGCCTTTGCCCTGGTGGAGCAGAGGAGCAGAACTGTCTGGCTGACCCCTGTGTGGCATCACCTGCTGCAGGGGACCCCTCCTTCCCACCCCCACTTTGCAGGCACCACCTGCAGCTGCCTGTGAGCCCTGTCTGATTCCGGCATGGCCCCCCCACTGACCTTGACTTTTGTACCCCTCCTTGCACCCCACAGGCAGTTCTGTGCATCCAAGCTGTTTAGAATGCCCCCCTTTGTAGAACCCTGCTGGGGGTCCCCCATGGGGCAGGGATCTCCAATCTATAGATGGGGATTCCAGCTTGGAGAGTAGTAAAGACAGGTGCCCAAGCGGGCTGACCCTTTGCTCACCCCCCAGGGACTGTCCTGGGCCAGGTGAAGGGCACCTAGGGCATTAGTGTGGAACCTGGGACCTGCTGCCTGCCAGCGGAGCCTGGCTGTCGCCCGGGCTCTCCATGCCCTGCTTTGGGGGAGCTCAGCAAGGTGCCCCGCCTGTGTCCCCACCACGGACAGCGCCGGACCCCCGGGTGCCCAGACCTCGACAGCCGCTGCCGCAGCTTGCCCTGCTCAGCGCCAGCCCCAGCTGCCACTGGCCCAGACGAGGGGGGCCCCCAGGGTAGCACCACCCTCGCCCCTCACTTGTGTGTGACTCACCGGACTCCCGCGGGGAGGGGACGGCGCCGTCCAGGTGCAGTGAGGCCCAGGCAGGAGCCGGAGTCCCTTTTATCACTCCCCGGGGACGCGGCTGACACCCCGCCGCCCTCCCGCTGCGGTCCCTAAGGAGACGGAGTCCGCGACGGCCTTGGTTTCTCTCCCCCTTCGTTATTTTTTTAAACTCATGGGCAATGTGATTTGTCCCTTCCTGGATGATATAATCTCATTTCGGACAAGTGCTTTAAAACACATTAACCTCCCTGCGCAGCTTGCCTCTGGGCAGACTTCAAAGTCAAGCGTCTGCGTTCTCTCGCTCTGCTCCGCTCCGCTCGCTCGGAAGCTGCCCCAAACGGCAGCCGCCCCCTCGACTTCAGCAAGGGTGGAGAGGCCCCCTGGGCCCAGCTTGGTCACCGCCTCTCCCCCTCGCAGGCTGTCACCCTCAGCTGTGCCCACCCTCATTCCGCAGCTGAACACAGAGCGTGGCTCTTGTAATTTTCAAACCACGCAAGCCCATCACTGTTTGAAGGTACATGGGTCGGTTTCACGTGCATTGGGAGCCTCGTAGTGCCCATGGAAACAATGGAGAGTAGCAGGCTCCTGTCTAGCGCCCCGCACACGTCCCAGTAGACTCGTCCTGCTTGTCCGGGTCTCTAATTCTTTTGCTCCCCGCAGCGTATGTGCCACTTTAGATAACTGTGCAAGCCTCACTACTGAACCAGACCTGAGAACCCAAGTGGTTCCTATCTGAAGGCTCACAGATTACATGGAGGGACAGCGGAGTGCAGTCTATACTGCCTTCTCGAGAGAACCGTGCGGGGCAGGGACTAGCAGGCTGCTTCTCCTGGATTCGTTTCCTGGGCCTCCGAGGTGTCTGGGAAGAGTGTCAGGGTCACTGGCACCCCGCAGGCGTCAGGGTGCCCGGAGGCCTGCTCCTGTTCCTGGAGAGGGTGGGAGTGGGGTGTGTGTGGGGCAGGGTAAGGATCAGAAGATGAGTGTCACAGGGGGGCTTTCTGCATCCCCAGTACCCAGGCTCCCTGCACACAGATTCCCTCAGCCTTCCCGCAGGCCTGGCCTGGGCGCCCCCAGCTGCTCCACCTTGGCATTCTCAGAGGAGGGGACCCTGCAGGGCTTTGGCTGCAGACTAAGGTTGGAGAGCTCATCCCACACCTGTCCTAGCGGGGTCCCAGGTCTCAGGGTGGTAGGGGGGCTGCATACTCATGGTTTGTCTTTGATCAGTCAGAATTTCACAAAGATAGGCAGGCACAGAGGAGGCACCAAGGACAGCTGGCCACGCCAGAGGCCGGGAGAGGCCGGAAGCGGCAGGAGCCCCTGGCACTCAGAGACTTCAGATGCAACCCACCCTCCCGACACTTGATTCTGGATTTTGGCCCTGCAGAGAGCATACGATCTGTGGCTTATTCTACCTGGGTGGCACAGCCTTGTCCCGGCAGCCACCAGGACGCTACGGGCTCTGGGAAGGGCCTGAGCGAGCTGACAAGTCTTCCCTCCCAGTTCCCATTCTGCAGGTAGACGAGAGTGTCTGTGGCTGTGGCCTGTGTGTCCCTCGTGCCTGGGCGCTTTGGGGCACCTAGAAAGACACTGTACAACCGTGGGGACGGAGAGGCCCTGGGAGCGGGGCTCTGCCAAGCTGTGCCCGTGCCCGGCTTCAGGGGAGGAAATCCATCCGCAGCAAAGCCCTTCCCAATGGAGGTGGTGTCCTAAACCTGAATTCTTGCGAAAATGTAAAAGCACTCATCTTTGTGAATTGGCAAAGTTTATTTTTGAAGTATGAGTCATGGGCCACAGTTCAGACGGTGTCCCCAAAGGCTTGGACGGGGGGTGGTACTCCTGGGGGCGCGGGGTGACTTTGGGGGTGGTGGTGAGTGGTGCAGTTGTTCCTTCCCGGAGGCCACGGTGGCTTGCAGAGAGGGCTGCTGGGGCAGGCGGGTTCTGCTCCTTGGTGCCCCTGGGTCCCGTGTGCAGTCCCCAGCTGGATGCCTAGGGTCCCACTCGCTGGCACAGACCTGTGCCACGTCTGCCCTCCCCTCACACAGCACCGTCCACTGCCTCCCTGTCCCACCCAGCACAGCCGGGCGTAGATGGCCAGAAGATCACAGGGACAGAGGTTGCCCTGTTCCTCCCACAGCTTGCGATGGTGCCATCCCTTGGGAGGTCACACTGGCTCTCTCACAGCGCAGAGCCGGGCAGGTGGCACTGGCATCTGGTGAACAGCTGGGGTCTGGAGCTGCTGGCACCTGCAGCCAGGAGTGCACAGGAGCAAGTCCTCTTCCCGTTTCTGTCTGGGGCGGTGACAGCGTGCGGCGGGAAGTATGGTGCCCAGGAGGATGGGACACCGTGTGGCGGGCACAGGGTGGGTCTCTTGGTGGCTCTGTCCTGGTCCCACGCCTCCTCTCTAGGACTGCTGCTGCTGGGCCACCACGGGTTTCTGCAGAGCACAGACACACAGTGTATGAGTGTGCACAGCATCCCCTTGCATGAGCACACACACACGCTCACAGACACACGATGGATACACAGGTGCGCACAGAGAAACACACCCGCAGATGTGCACATACAGCTCAGATACACAGGTGTGTGCTGGGCCTGGCTAAGCTGGACGCCACCCAGGTGTGCACCAAGGATGCACACACAGCCTCAGTAACCTGGGCGTGCACACACACGGCCATGCTCACAGAGAGACACAGGAGTGCAAACTGCACACAGCACACAGGAGGGCATGCACAAGGCTGCACACCACACCCACGCCGGCTGACACAGTGGGGAGGCTTACTTGCTTCTGGGAGTCTTACGTAACTCCCTGCCTCTGTGTCCCTAGCTGGGACCTGGGTTGCTGATGCAGGGCCGCATCCCGGTGGCACATGGGTGGAAGCTTAAAGCTCCAAAGCACAGGAAGGTGCCCATCTAAGAGGAGAGTGTGGAGACGCTCGCGTTCCCGGCGGAGTCGCTGCCTCCCACCTCCCTGGCCCCAGTCTGGAGCCCTTTCCCAGGCAGTGGGGTGCGGGGCACCTCTGCCCTCTTAGGCTGTGTCCTACCTGTGTGCCCCACCCCCGTCCCTGCTGTGAGATTTCTGCGGGGATACAGCTCCCCGTGCCAACTGCCTCCTCCTGGTGTCCTCGAGATATTTGTCACCAGGTTAAAGTGGAGCTCCTGTCTGAGCTTATTTAGGTTCCAGGAGGCCCAGCAGGAGCTGGGCATGGTGGCACACACCTATAAACCCAGCACTCTGCCAGGCTAAGGCAGGAAGAGCTCAAATTCAGGCCTACTCAGTGAGATCCTGTCTCAAAATTAAAAAAGGGCTGGGGATGTAGCTTAGTGCAAAGGCTCTGGGCTCTATCCATGATACTGAGAAAAATAAAAAGGCTAGCAGGACCACCGCCCTGGAACAGGGCCTGGGACAGGGACAGAGGCTGACTGCGGGGACTAGGTCATTTCCTCCTCTTGCAGTGAGCGCAAGGCCCACCGAGCCCACCTGCCCAGGCTGAGGAGGAGATCAGTCTGTTCCTGTCCAGCCAGGTCTGAGCCTGCAGGGTGGCTCTGCTCAACCAGGAAGCCCCCTCCTCTACCAGGAAGCCCCTTTCCCTCCCTCCGGTGCCTGGGATTCCTGGTCCAGGCTGGTGAGAGGTTGGATTTGGTTAACGCTCTCTGAATTGGGGGTAACGTGCAGGAGGGCAAAGCTGGGAAAGGGTCCCATCTGTGCCCAGCGGCAGGCAGGCAAGGACACTGTGTGCCACCAGCGGACACCCTGCCTGCATGCAGACTGCCAGGGGGACAGGCTATAGTGCAGAACAAGGGGTCAGATGCCCCTGGGGGATGCCTCTCCCCAACATCAGGCACCCCTCAGCCCCACAGCGAGGTAGTTCTGACTTCTGCTTTGAGGACAAAGATCTGGACAATCCCACAGCAGCTCTCAGGGAATGAATACAGTGAGAGCAGAACCGGACAGCTTTGAAAGGACAGGCAGAAAAAAAAAAAAAAAAAAGACAGGCAGGAGGTAGCAAAGGAAAAGGCTGGAAAAAGAGGGGACAGTTGTCCGCCTCAGAGCTGCTTCCTGGGCTGCCTCTGAGGCATCAGGTAACCAAGGAAACAGCTTGAAATAAGAGGGGGTGGCCTGGGAGCCCGTTCTGGGCTGACCCTCCTCTGAGTTAAGCATCAGCCCAGGACCAGGAGGCCCAGGTCTCAGCACCATGGGAAGGGGTAGCAGGGAGCTTGGCTTATGCGTGGTGAGTCCTGCACGTGCGCCCGTGGTCTCTACAGCCTGTGACGCCCCCAGCCCTTGTTACCAAGTCACTGACTCTGCAGAGTTGACCCTGTGGGCTCTGGGCTCTGTGACAGCTCCCCCAGGGCCATAAAAGGTCAAGAACCCCAGCTGCTGAAGGAAGGACCAAGCCAAGCTGCTCATTGACATGAGCCAGAGCTCAAGCTGAGCTCTCAAAACCTAAACCTTAGAACCCTCAGCACCTGGCCCTCAGACTATGCGTTCTTCTCCCTGGCCGGCTCCCACCTGTGGAGTGGGTCTTGTCTTTTCCCTTTCAAATAAACCACTGATCTTCCGCTACTCTTGGGTGTTCTGCTCAATTTTCTGTTTAGGAACCCAAGAAGCTGGCCAAGACCCCAACCTGGTAACAACCAGAAGCAGGCAGATCATGGCTCCGACCCCCATAACTGGCCTTGAAGTGACCATGGCAGTGGGAATCCTGGCCAGCAGGCCAAACCTGCAGAGAGAGCTACAGGCAGCCAGGTGCTCGGACCATGCGTCCTGCCTGGGGAAGGGATCTCTCCTGAAGCGCACTCCTGCCACTGGTGACATCTGCCGCAGGTCCTCACTAGCGCTGAGCTTGTGCTGGTGGCTTTTCCCTGAATTTCTAGAACTGTGAGCTGCACAAAACTCTCTTGTTTATAAAGTTTCCTGCTGTTAGGGCTTGTGTTTAGATGTCCCCCAAAGTCATGTGTTCATAGGTGGGACTTTGAGGAGGTGGCTGGATTGTGGGTATTCAATGCTGGATTAGAGTGAGTGATGCCGGGATTAAGCGTGTGTGATAACTATGCTGGTTTAGCATAGTTTCTGGGTGTGGGTTATGGAAGCCTCACCCTTGGTGTGGGTGGCACCATTCAGACAGAAAGGAGGCAGGCTCACTGCGTGCTGCCTCCTGCCTGCCCTGCCATGGACTGTTTCTCCTTTGCAATGCCCTCTGCTACTCCACCCTGCACTGGAGCCAGCTGTTGACTGACAACTCTATAAACCATGAGCTGAAGTAAACCTTTCCTCCTTTAACTTGTGGGCCTCAGGTATTTTGTTCCAGCAATGAGAAAATTAACTAAGACACCTACCTTGGGCATGGCATTACAGTAATAAATCACGGACTGATACAAAGAAGGTCTGGATGCCGAAGGAGACAGTGGCCCCTGGGCCACCCTGTGCATCTCTATGGCCTGCTGCTCTGAGGCTGCAGGGCCATGTATGACATGCTGTGGCATGCCTGGACCCCATGCAGAGGGCAGCTGGCATTGGGACCCTGTGCTGCTGGGGACCCAAAGGTTGCAGGTGCAGGTGAGTCACCAAGGTGTACTTCCTGCAGGAAGTTCTGGTGTTTGGGAGGAGCCCGGGAAATGAACCTCTCCACCCGAGTTCTGGGCAGCCTTTGACCCTGGCACCTCGTCCCTGGCCCAGCTGCAGAGACTGTGGCCCTGAGAGACAGGGGTCTGGGGAGGGCGTTCTCACTGCCTCACAGACCTGTTGAGCTGGCCACAATGAGAGGGGTCACCTGGTGAAGCCGCCTGCCTCTGCGTTTCTGCCTCAGAGGTCCACTCTGCTACTGTCAGGGAATGTTTTCAGTTTTCCTTTTGCGGACTTTGCTTTTTGCTTCTGTTCTCTGGCTTTTCATCTCTTCTGTTTATCTCAACTCTCTTTACTCTGAAGACTTACCACCAATACGTACATCTGGCAGGAGACAGAACTTCAAAGGCTCCCGAGCAAGTGCAGTGAAGAGGTCACCACATGTGGGGGTGCACATCTGTAATCCCAGCACTCAGGATGCTGATGCAGGAGGATCTCCTTTTTTTTAAATTTCTTTTTCCAGTACCAGCAATCGAACTCACGACCCCACACTTGCCAGGCAGGCGCTGTGCCACTGAACTAAATCCCCAGCCCCAGGAAGATCTCCTTGAGTTTAAGTTCAGCCTGGGCTACATAATGAGTTCAAGGTCAGCATGAACTACATAGCTTGACCCTCTCTCAGGAAACCAACCAACCAACTAAACAAACAAAAGTTACCGCGAAGATGTGGCGGGCCATGCCCCTCCTGCCGCTGGGGCTCCTCTGCGTTAGGGACCCGCGGTACAGTGACTTCCCCTCGAAGGACTCCTCATCCTTACCTTTGGGGAAACAGAGCAGGGAGGAGTTTTACTCACCATGAACCTACCCCGAGCAAGTGCCTCAGTGACCTAAGAGCCCTGGAGAGAATCCTAACAGTGGACAGACCTCCGAGGACACGACTGGCACACGACACGACTGCGCTGCAGCTGCTGCGCACACCGGTTCAGGGCCCGCCTTCCCCTGCGGCCCTCAGCAGGACCTACAAAGCCCAGGAGGCCTCCCTTGGGCACAGCATCATGGGCCTGCCCCTGGCTTTCCTTTAGATTTGGGTGGCACAGTGGGCACGGGGTCTGGGACTCTGCCCCAGAGCAGGTCTCTCTCCAGGGAGCCGGATTCGCTGCAGGCCCTGCTGGCCCAGGTGGGGACCTTCCTGACCTCACGCTCAGGCTCAGTGGGGAGAGGCGGCCCAGCTCGCAGGGCGCCAGGACTCGATGCGCACAGGGCCTTCGCTTTCCTCGCCTCCCTGCTCCCGCTGTCTCTCCCCGGGGGTCCTCCTGGCTCGCTGTCCCCTCCTGACCCTTTCCAGGAGGGTGCTCCTGGCCTGCTGCTGTGACCCCGGGACCTACTCTGCCCAGGACTGCCTGACCATGGCTAAGGACACTGAGTGGGAGGACAAGTGGCCCTGCGTGGGGCTGAAGGTCGTGACCCGCACGCGGGCCGGTGATGGTAGCAGGAGGGAGCCAGGATGCCATGGCTTCTTGGCCCAGCGCTGAAGGGTGCCGGCCTGGGGCTGGTCCTGCCCAGCTCTGGACTGGACACGGGCTCCCTCACAGGTCAGCGGTGGCACCCCAGGTGCCTCAGGGCTGAGGTGTCTCCTCTCTGCCCCCACTGCCTGGTTCGTGACCCTGAGTCATGGGCCTGGGGCACTGGCTGGTCCCAGGGTGGAGCTGGATGGGGCCACACAGGGAGCCTAGTGGGGGAAGGCACAGGGCAAGGGTTACGGGACAAAGCTGCCATCCTTGTCACCCCCCAGACCTGGAGGAGAACTAAGTGATCCTGTGCCAGCTCCAGGGACCAGGGCTGTGAGCAGGACAATTTATACCACATAACATGGAATGCAGGGGCACCTGATGGCCTGGTGGGCCTAGAGCACAGGTTCTGGCTGTGCAGAACCCACACACCAGGCCCCAAGGGGCCCACAGTGGCACTGGGGTGTTCTTTTTTTGATTTTGGTCTCTACGGCAGGGTCTCACTATGGAGTTCAGACTCGTCTTCAACTTGTGCTGATCCTCCTGCCTCAGCCGCCTGAGGGCTGGGATAACAGGTGTGTGCCACCAAGCTGAGCTGGGGCGTTCTTTAGAGTCCGGGCAGGAGGTGGGTACCACAGAGCACAGGGAATGCAGTAGACCCCCAGGGGCCATGGTCCCCCGACCCCGAGTGACTTCCCAGGCCCCCAGGAGCAGAGCTCTTACCAGGAGTTTTAGGGGAGTACTTCCTCCTGAGAAGATAGGGCTCAGCCGCCACCTGGGGGAGAGAGGACGGCTGTCTTCAATCCGTTCAGAGACACTGCAGGCTGAGTTCAGCCTCCTTCTCCTTTTCCTCTTTTCTTTCTTTTTTGCAGTACTGGGAACTGAACCCAGGGCCTGCGCTGAGCTACATCCCCAGCCCCTGTTTGTCTTTTGGAGACAGAGTCTCTCAGTGACTTGCTGAATTGTACAGGCTGGGCTAGAACTTGCAATCCTCCTGCCTCTGCCTCCCAGAGTACTGGGTTCGACAGGCATGCATCACTATGGCTGGCTGGGGCTCCTTATTGTTGCTGGGATTCTAGCGGGCCAGGTCAACTGCCTTCCGTGCTCTGGAACGTGTGAATTTTCTGTGGGCTTTCTGTGAGTTCAGTGCCACGTGTGGGCTTTCTGTGAGTTCAGTGCCACGTGCCTGAACTTGAGAGGCGTTGGCTGGTGTGGGACAGTGGCCAGGGTTGGGCTGCATGGAATCAGCTCCAAAGATCTGGGGTGAAGGACTCAGTGCCCCCAGCCGTGTACAGTAGCGTGGACTCATGTTTTCCTGCACACTGGCTCCTGATATTCTCACCGCTAACAGCCAGCGCCTGCGTCCCCCAGGTGGAGCAGCACCCCAGGCAAATGCACAGGCAGGGATGGAAGTGCCCAGGAACACACGCTGTTCCCTTGGTGATGGGGAGGAGGATGAAGGCTGTGCTGCTTTAGTTTGTCACTCTGATTGGCTGGGAGCCTCCTAGGTTGAGGCTCTGGGTGTGCCTCGGTGGGTCGTGGAGGTGTGATTTTGGGGTCTTTGTCTGGCTCCTGGCTCCTTCCTCTCTGCACTGTTACCCTGCTCTGCCTCCTGGCCCCATGAACTAAGTACCCTTCCGCCATGATTTCCTGTCTTGGAGCAATGGCCGTGGACTGAATCCCCTGAAGCTGTGAGCCTAATTAACCCCTGCTTTAAGTTGCAGGTGTGAGGTAGTTTGTCCCAGTGATGGGGAAGCTGGCTGATACAAGGACCCTGCCACCTCAGCCCTGGGTGAGGCAACTCCAGGGTGTGACCGCTGCTAGCCCCAGGGCTCCTCACAAGTCTGAGCCAAAGAGCGCATGTGGGGATTCCTTCCCTCTGGTGTCCCTTCTCCACTCCCTTCCAGGGTTTTCCCTGCTTTCCCCCAACAAATGCTTTGACCCAGACCCCTCTGTGTGCACGTCTGAAGACACTCTACTCCGGCCTGCCTGTGGTGGTGGCTGGGATCACACGCACCTTGCCCGCCTCTGCAGGGTCTGCATTCTGATCCTCCGGACTCTTGCCAAGTGTCCCTGTCACTCGAGGCAGGAAGATCTGGAAGACAAGGGAGGTGCTGCGTGTTGTTACTGTCTTGCTGAGCAAGAAGGCAAAGGGCAAGAGTTGGGCTGGGCTGACTGGATGTGGGATCTGTTAAGAAAGCTGGGAAGGGGGCTGGGGATTTAGCTCAGCAGCAAAAGCGCCTGCCTGGCAAGCGCAAGGTCGTGAGTTCGGTTCCTGGTACCGGAGAAAAACAAAACAAAAAAAAAAAAACAAAAAAAACAAGAAAGCTGGGAAAAGAGAGGAGCAGTGGCACACCCCTGTAATCTCAGCACCTTGGAAGGCTGAGGCAGGAGGATTGAAAGTTTAAACTCAGCCTGGGTCATTTATTCACTTAGTCATGACCCTCTCTCCCAAAAAACAAAAACAAATGAAAAACAAAAATAAACAAACAAAAATGGCTAAGATGTAGCTCACTGAGGAGGCCCTCGATTCAATCTATCAGGGAAAAAAAAAAACAATAAAACCTTAGAATGTTGGAGTAACAGTCCCCTGAACACCTGGTTCTGGGACCAGGCTGTGAGTTTAGCAACTTAAAAAACATGATGCCATGCTAGGTGTGGTGGTGCACGCCTGTAATCCCGGCATCCAGCCTGGATGGCATAGCAAGACCCTGCCTCAAAAAGACATAAAAAAAAAAAAAAAAAAAAGATGCCCCATTAATGTTCCATTTCAGAGAAACAATAATAATTTTTTAGTGTAATTATGTCCTCAAAGTTGCACGGGCTGCACTGGTGTTGGAGCACTGTCATTCATCTGCAGAGCAGGGCTCACTGTGTTTCCCTGGCAACCCCAAGGGCTCAAGAGAATTGACCTCCAGCCAATCTCTCCTCCCCAGCCTGGGCCGGCCAGGGGTCCTGCCTGGGCTCAGTGGGGAGGACGAGCGTTGCTGACTCGGTCTCCCTGTCCACGCCACACTTGTCTTAAGGAAGGAATCTGTGAAGCCTTCGGTAGGGGTTCTGCATGCCAGGTTGCTGGTTTGCAGCTTAGACTGTGCATTTCCAGTTTTTGGGTCAGCAATGTGCCCTGCTGTTGGATCTCACAGCTCAAAGAGAGGCTGGCAGCTGGCCAGGGCCCAAGCCTATAGCACCACAGGCTCTGGGGAGGTCGCAGGGTGCAGACATGCGGGGTGCTGTGGCTCCCACTCACCGGGAGGTTTGACTTCCTCTGGGGCCTGGCCGAGCGCTTCACTGTGAGCCCTGCGGCTCTGAGGGCTGCGATCCTGGACTCGATGTCGGAAACCTGGACAGCAGCAGACAGTAGGTAGTCAGACGGATGCCACCCCGGCATCCCAGCTCAGGCAGCTACCCTCCACTCCTCGTGGAGCCCACTTGGCCGCTGCTTCCCCTGGAGACCGAGGTCTCAATCGTGTGCATGTCCGGGGCTGGTGCTCCCTGACATTCCTTCCATGGTGGGGGTGCTCTTGTGCGACCCCCACTCTAGGCAGTGGGGAAGAGCTCTAAGCAAGCCTGGAGCCCTGGGGATCAGTGAAGCTCACTTCTGCTGCCATGAATAGGCATCTTTGCTCGCCATGCCCTTCCGCCATGATGCTCCTGCCTTGGAGCCAGCTGACCAGGGACCGAATGCCCTGAAACCGTGAGCCAAGTTAAACCTCTCCTCCTTTACATTACGGTTGTTGAGTGTTGTGTCCGGCATGGGAAAGCTGACCGTATACCCACCCACCACCCCCGGAACCAGCTTCTGGAAACAAGCCCCCTCTCCCATTCAGATCCTTTCAGTTTCAATTTCTTTTCTTTTTCATAGTGCAGGGGATTAAACCCAAGGCTTTGTGCATGTTAAACATGTGCTCTGTCACTGAACTACACTGCAGCTCTTATCCTGGCTTTTCTTGTGATCCTGGGGCTGCCTGCCAGCCACCCTCCTTGGGACCTGCCTCCTCCACTTCTCCATCACTGTGTCCCTGTCAGGTTTTCATTGTTGAGCCCTGAACACGCCAAGCCCAACACCACCCCAGGGCCTCTGCACAGGCCGTTTCTTTGCCTGGACTCCTGGCCCCTAGCTGTGCTTGTCTTTGTAGCATTTCTCCCACTGCTTCTGAAGCAGCCCCACCCAGCACAGCTGTTCCCCTCGCTTATTGCTTTCAGAGCCCTGTCACGGTGGAAAGATTTTGTTTGATTGTGGTCCAACTCCACAAGCCTGACACAGGCTTGTCTAGCATATTTGCCACTATTTCCCCTGTGCCACATCATGCTCCAGGAAGGAGTGAGTGAACTGGAAGACCGGGCTGCCTCTGACATGGGTGGCACTGGGGTCCGTGCCTGTCTTCCTGGGCTGGTGGGAAGAGATGTGAGACAAGGGTCAGGGCATGGGCTGTCCCTGCAGTCTGAGGACAGACCCTCCTCCCTGCAGGGTGCTGTGAGGACAGAGGGTACTCATCATGTAGCTGACTGGGGGGGTGGGGTCTACATGCCTTTGACCCATATGCTGTCAGTGCATCCATTCCTCCCCTGAGCTCCCGTCTGGCTCCCTGGGTGGCCCTGGACCCATCCAGAGCTGGCCTCAGTGGTTGTGTGGGCTCAGCATGGGGCCCAGGGCTGCAAACCAGCCCGCCCCTCTCTGGTCAGCAGGGGCAGAAGGTGGTGCCGGAGGGCTGTGTGAGCACGAGGTAGTCTAGTCCTGGTCCGTCACGGGCTCATTGCACCTCTTTGGGAACCTGCCCGCCCTGGCTCTGGGGCTACCTCGCTCTCCACCTGCTGCACCTCAGAGGCTGCTGCGGCCACCCTGTCCTCCAGCTCTGACAGCACCTCATCCGTGGGCCTGCTGGTGTGGACAGAGGCCCTGTGGGTCCAAGGGCTGCTGTCCTGGGTGTCTGTGAGGCCTGTGGCTGTGCTTGCCTACAGAAGAAAAGAGAAATGGCCACTAGTGGGGACAGCGGGAGGGACACCGCCCAGCTCCCTGGGCTCCTGGAGCTGCTCCCCACACCTGCCTCCCAGTTGGCTCTTGTCAAGGCCCCTGTGTCTCCTGCAGTGAGTGCCTGCTCTGGGGAGGCCTGGCTGGGATGGTCCACCCTGTCCCTTCCTCTGCTGAGTCCTGCAGGAGGGCACACCTCTGCTGTCTCCCTGGCTGCTCCATCCTTGGCCACCTCCTCTTCGGACGAGGTGCCTTGGTCGCTGAGGGCACTGGTCAGCTCCTTCAGCTGCCTCCTCAGACTCTCCTCCTCCAGGTCGGCCTCCATGTGAGCTTCTGCATTGGCTGGAGACTGCAGGGACAGGAGGCAGTGCTCAGAGGAGGGGTGGCCAGCCTGGCACCCTGAGGCCTGTGGCAGCCCAGGCCCCATCCCTCCTCTAGGTTAGTCTGTCCCCAGACTGCAGAGCCAGGCCCTAGTACCTCATACCTCACTAGTACCCACGGCTGTGTTGAGCCCTCCTTCTTCTGGTTTTATGACCTTGCCTTCTCTTGCAACTTTTCCTTCTTGTGGCTCCACACCCACGTGGAATTTACCCTGGGAACCATTTTACGGTCTCCAGCTCAGCGATACACCCACATCCATTCCATTCACCCAGGGACTCCTCCTCGTGCGGGGCCATGGCTTTGTCTCCTTTAAGTCCCCTTCCTCCCTCAGCCCCAGGCAGCCACCTTGCTCCCGCTCCTGCTCCTGCTCCTCCTGCTGCTCCTGCTCCTTCTCCTGCTCCTTCTCCTGCTTCTGCTCCTCCTGCTGCTTCTGCTCCTCCTGCTGCTCCTGCTCCTCCTGCTGCTCCTGCTCCTCCTGCTGCTCCTGCTCCTCCTGCTGCTCCTGCTCCTCCACCTGCTCCTGCTGCTCCGGCTCCTTCTCCTGCTCCTCCTGCTGCTCCTGCTCCTTCTCCTGCTCCTCTACCTGCTCCTTCACCTGCTTCCTCTCCTTCTCTTGCTCCTCCTGTTCCTCCTGCTCCTTCTCTTGCTTCTGCTGCTTCTCCTTCTCCTGCTCCTTCTCCTTCTCCTGCTCTTTGCAGTGCTGAGGACTGAACCCAGTTTCTTTACACTGAGTTATATCCCCAGCCCTTTCTAAATTTTTATTTTGAGGCAGGGGCTCACCCAGTCACTAACTTGCCCAGGATGAACTGAAGTTTTCGATCATCCTGCTTCAGCCTCCCAGAGTGCTGAGATCACAGGTGCTGACCTGGCTCCATTTTCTTTCCATCTCTGTGATTCTGACTTCTCCGGGTACCTCTTATAAGTGAGGCCCAGTGGTACCTGTCCTTTTGTGACTGGCTGATTTCTCTCAAGGGTCATGGCACTGCAGCAGGGGTCTGAACTCCTTTCTTGTTTGGCTGCCTGCTGAGACCCCCAGGCTGAGCACTGCACTGAGCTCGTGCTGGTGGGAGCTGACAGGCACAGTGCCCCATTTGCCCCCAGCTGGGCTCCAGGCTTTTCCTGCCCTGGCAGAAGTTGCTGTCCCAAGACTAGACCTGGGAAGGGAGGGTATGGGTCTCAGGGTGCCCCCAAGTTGAGACAAAAATGACCCTGGCCACTAGACATCAGCATCACCTCAAACAGCCTTGAACCACTGGACCGTAGGGTCTATCCTGGACTTGTATAATTACAAAGGCAATCCTGTCCTGTCTGTCACCAATTTTGCCTCCTGCTGCTGTCTCTGCCCTAGATAAGATGCGGTGCTGCACCCCACTACTGCCCATGCAGTCTGACCCCTGGAGGATCCTCCTCTCTGGAGTCCCTGTCACCCTGCCTGGCTTTATTTCTCTCTGCTTTCTGCCTCATCCTGACTGTCATCCCTGCTGTCATTGCATTACCCCCTGCCCCCTGCCTGGACCACAAGCCCTCTCAGGAGGAGCCTGCTGCTGGGTCCCTGGATGCCACTTCCTGCCCAGTGGGAAAGTCACACATCCACTTAACAACGTGGCCACGAGGACAGACACAGACTGTCTGTCTATCTGTCCACTCCTTCACTCGGCCATCCTACATCAATGCAGACTCATGGGCACTGCCCAGGACAGATTCAGCATAGTCATTATCCTTCTCCTGTCCCTCCCTTTGGGGGTGCATCACCGTGTGACCCTGCAGAGCTCCCAGGAGGGCCTGGCTTCTCCCTAGGAAGCCACACACACCCTGCATCCACCAGGTGGCATCAACTGGTCAATCGATCCATCGATCCCTCCTCGGCCCAGCCCTCTTGGCAAGAGGAGGACACGGGTCATGGTCATTTAATTTCCTATTAGGACAGATCAGCCATCTCACAAGGCCACAGGCAGTGGGTAATTAGATTGGGTGTGGAGAGGTGGCTCGGCGACTTCTGGATGCTTCTCTATCAAAACCAGAGTCCCCAAACCACAGGCAGGAAGAATTGCACAACACTCAGGCTCCAAACTCCCTGGCTGCAGGGACTGCAGCTGTCTCAGATTGCACAGGAGTGAGGGAAAGTGGGTCCCTTGAGAAAGGGGGCCAAAGAGGACCTTGAGGGGAGATGGCTGGTGGCCTCTGGAAAGGCAGGGACTGCCTCTGCCTGTAAGTAAGGACACGCACCTAGCTGAGTGTGAGAAATACAGTGAATGTTTAGATGTTTAAAAATTATTACAGTAGAAGACCTGTTGTCAGGAATCCCCCTCAAAACCCTCTCCCTGCTCCGAACATACTCGTCCCTTCATTCTCGCCACTGTCTGCAGTGGCTCTGGAGTCCTCTCTCCCGAGTGACTTTGGTTGTGCTGTCCTGGCACCTCGATGTTGTGAATTTATTGAAAATATTGACCTTTCATGGTCATTTTCACTTTGGGGAGAACCAGCAGTCACATGGTGCCAGGCCCAGTGAGTCAGACAGACGAGGACACTGTCATGATTTTAGGAGCTGCCTTTCTGTTGGACGGCACTCGGCAGCAGCCCTCACCATATTCTTGATCATGCCTTGTGAGGACACTCATGAAAGGACTCCAGAGCTGCTTCAGAAAGTGGCGAGAACGATGGGCTGAGCGTGTGCCAAAGGCGGGGGAGGGTTTTGAGCGGGACGTGTGGTAATGTGTCTTTTAGCTCACACCTGGAGCTGGAAACCTCAGCAGAGGTCCTTCCTGGAGCCTGTGAGGGCCTCAAACTCTGGCTGAGGGCTGTGGGCCGCTCTGCCTGCCCAGCCCCTCAGCCTTAGGGATGCCAGAGAGAGGTCTCCAAGGGGGCCAGCAGGTGTTGCCCAGCTGTCACATGTTTACCCAGCTCAGAGATCTGCTGCAGGTGGAGAGGACAGTGGCCTGGCACCAGCACTGGCGAAGCCCCATGTTCCCCAGGAGCCGAAGGAGGGCAAAGCCAGTACCCGTGGCATGGCCAGGAGGGTTCACAGCCAGAGACCAGGGACATCAAACAAAGGTGAGAGGCTAAGAGGGTGGCAGTGATACAGCAGAGGTGGGGACAAAGCCAGGGACCAGGAAGCTAAAGCCGAAGGGATGACACTGGCGTCACTGCTGGCCCACGACAGTCACTGCCGATCGGCACAGGAAGGTGTGAGCTAAGCAGCACATGGAGACCAGAGCAAAGCCATCAGCTGGCTGGCAAGAGTCTGGGTCCCTCTGGGCCGGAAGGCAGCACTCCAGGTGTCACCTAAAGGTGACCAGAAGGACAGCTTCCCCCCTTGAGTCACCAGCCCTTGAGTCACCGCAGCCTATGAGCCCCTGACGGAGGCCCGGAAATCAATGCTCTCTGGTGCACGCACCAGGCAGGGGCGGCTCATCCGCATGGTCACCTCGGCCGCCACCTCATTTGGAGGGGAAACGGCGCTGAGTAGTCAGGACACTTGCGTTAGCAGGCAGGTAATTAGCTTGACCTCTGTGGCACCCAGACCCTTGAGCGGGAGAAGACAGGCGCCGGAGAGCATCTGTGACGCTGGAGCCCCCCCTGCGAACCCAGCCCAGCCCGGTCCCATTCAGCATCTGCAGGGGCTCGATCGATACCCTGGGGAGAGTGGTAGGCAGGTGGCCGAAGTCCTCCGGCACGCGTGCTGTATGTGGGGGCTGGGCGAGGGAGCTGGACACTGTCACTGTGAAATGCCACATCCTCTTCCCAAGCCCCGGGGAGGCAGGGATGCTGGGGGGAACTGCAAAGTCAGCTTGGGGCTCAGCTCTGCACGGCCTGCTGAGGAGGCCAGGACCCCAGAGGTAACTTCGACAGCAGAAAAAGGTACCAAACTCGCACTCGGGGCAGACGCCTTCATGCACTCTCTGCCCTCCCTCGAAGGTGTAACTCTCACCGCATCTACTTTACAGTAAGTTCTACCCAGGCTTCTGCCGCCTGTGTGTCTTGACTGAATTCTTTCATCAAGGGCACAGGGACTGAGGAAGTGAGGGGCGGGCTGCCCGGTTTCCTGGGGACAGGATGAAGGGCCGGGTCCGCCCAGAGACCAGGTCCTTCGTGGCCGCCGTTACCTGGCTCTTAAGTGCAGCCCGGCCTCTCTGCTTGGCGTGCTGGGAGGTCGCCCTGGGCCCGGGGATGCTGTCTTCATCAGAGGTGTCCACATCGGCCAGGTACTGCGCAGGGGGCTGCCCCCTCCCGGTGGCGTTTGTCCCTGTGGAGAAAGAGAAGGTCTGAGTGACCTGGGCTAGCACCCTGAGCACTAGCAGGCGTGTTCTGTGCAGTGAAGACACAGAAGCTCGAAGACAGCAGAGCTATAATTAAACCCCTCTGCTGCGGGGGTGCTTCCCTGCCTGTGATCTGCACACTTCCTGGCAGGGGTGCCCCGTGCAGGGACCCTTGCCCTCACCTGGCACAGCTCGGCCTGGCGGTACAGCCCACCCGGGAGAGGGGTAGGGAGGGGGCACCTTGGGGCAGCCCTCACACTGATGGCCTTGTACCCCAGCTCCCGCTGAAGCGAAGGGCGCACACCTCGTCCTGCCTTGCTCTCCTGTCCGCCGTGGCGCTCTGTGAACTCGGCCAGGGAGTTGGCTGAGCTGTGACGGTGCAAGGTCCACAGCCCGCTGACACGGCCTGGGAGACCCTGTGCCGAGCCACACTTGACCCCCGGGAGACCACACACGTGTGTAGTTTAAGCACCAGGTGTGTGGCAGTTTGTCCACAGCAAGAGCAAGCAGACCTGACCATCTCCTCCCATCCCCGCAGCGTGGGGCGTCGCTGACCCGGAGCGCTCGTGAGGACCCTGAGGCACAGGACGAGACGCAGGGCCAGAGGCACACGAGGTTTCCTCACTTGCCAGCCCTGCACCTCCATGCCCCACACTCGCTGGATCACAGGGCAATGAGGAGACGCCCCCGTGTGAGAATCCACGGAAGGCCAGGGTGCTGGGCTCCAAAGTCAGTGCTGCTGCCCGTGGGGTCTCCCGCCCGTTCCTCGCTCCCCCTCCACCGCCAGGGGACCATGATCACGGGCGGGAACCCAGTGTCCTCCGGCCTTGCACGTACAGCTGCTCCGTGTGGACTCATGTGCACTGTTTTGGGGGAGTCAGCCTCCTGCTTCTGCTGCCCCCAGGATCCTGGCCAGCGTGAGGACCGTGGCCTCCCTGTCCCTGCTGCACAATGACACCAGGAGACGGCGGCGCACAGCGCTGGGAAAGCCCCCGGCCTCCCAGTCCTGTTTGCTCCGACTTTAATCGACGCCTGAACTGCTGAACCCATCGACCGCCTCCCTGGGGCCTGGAGAGGGCAGCGGTTTGGGGATTTCATTTTGAAGCGACCCTGTCTGGCAAAATGAAATGGAGCCAATTAGCTTCTTGCGTGCCTGGGCTCCTGACTGGTGGCCGCGGGCGTCTGGCCGGGACGGCTCCACTGGCCCCAGAGTGGCCCCGGGTTTGGCGGAGCTGCCTGTCTGCAGTCAGCAAGGCTACTCGGGCAGCCCAGCCATGCTGGGGACGCCGCCGGGCCCGCCCCGCACCGCGCTGGGTGCTTGACAGCTCCTCCGCTGGTGTTTCTGGGAGTCACAGGGAGCGGGCACCGCAGGGGTCCGTGTGGCTGGCCAGGACGCACACGTGACACCACTGTCCTGAAGGAGGGGCCCTTCCGACCCACAGAGCCCGTCTGGTCTGGCAGACCCTGGCCAGGGGCACCCACCGGGCACCGCCGCCGTCCGCAGAGCTGTGGTGTTGGCGTCGGCCGGCAGGCTGAGCTCCGCAGGGGCGTCCTGTCCCGATGGGGAGAGGCTGTCCGGCTGCTCGGAGGGACGGGGCTGGCGCCTGTAGCCCCCGGCGTCCTCCTCCTGCAGGGCCTCAGGCTCCCGGCAGGCGGCGTCAGTTGAGCAGAGGTCACCTGGGAGGGACTGAGCACAGGGCCGTCAGCCTCCCAGCATGCCCGGGCTCCACTGACACCTGCCTAAGTATGCCGCTATGCGTTCACGTCACCAGCCCTTGAACGTCAGAAGGGACCGAGTGGGCACGGGGTAGGGTCTCTCTGGCTGCAGTCTGGACCCCTCTGGCAGAGGGGTCACTGTGCCCGAGCAAGTGGGGGGTGGAGGGCTTCGGAAGTAACAGGCCACAGCAGGGAAGCGGTTGGCGGCCCCGGGGTGGGGGCGGCCCAGGAAGTGCAAATTCACGGCCCGACCAGCACGGGGAGCAGGACCGCGGCCCAAAGCTGCCTGGGTGCTCCTTCCCAGCCTGTTTCCTGCTCCCGCGGGCTGCTGGCCGCCCGCAGACCCAGCCCTGTCCCACGCTGGCTGGCACTGCCCGAGCCCAGGGGACGCGGGCGGGGAGAGCAGGGTCACTAAGAGGCGGGGTGCTGTTTCCGGGCCTTGTCCTGGCTCCCGTGCCCTGAGCCACCTTCATGGCCGGCCAGCGAGTCTGGTGCAGGCTGGGCACAGCCTCAGTCCTGAAAACCATCCCCTGAGGCAGAGGCGCCCCCTGCCCTTCCCCTGAGGGCGGAGCCTCTAAGCGGCTGGGGCACCGAGGTCCCGGCTCTGGAGCAGGCTGGCCCTGCTTCACCCGCTCTACCCTGCGGACCCTGGCACCGGCGTGTCCACTGGCGCCGGTCATAGGGGCAGCACCTGCGCTCGGGAGCTGGGCTCGGGCTGGGCAGTGAAGTGTAGGATGCCCTGCAGGGAGACAGGCCCTGCGGATGCCGCGCCCCACCTGCCCCCCTGGGGCTCGGGGTCCTGCCCGTGTCTGCACCCCGACTCACCTGCAGCCTCAGCTCCTGCCCTGCGCCCCTCTGCTCAGTCCCTCCAGGGATCCTGGCCTTGGGAGGGTGTGACGTTTGCAGAAGCCGTGTCCCCCTTTCTGTCCTCCTGCCCCAAGAGCCTGGTGGGACTGCAGGGCCCCCGGACACAGCTCCCCAGAGCGCCACCAGGCCGGGCCTGACCCCTGTGCGCCGGCTCCTGGGTGGGGTGGGGCGGACACAGGCACCAACCTGCAGGCTGTCGGTGGCCCTGGCGACCGAGGACAGGCACAGGGCGCGGCCGCAAGGCTCCTCCGAGTTGTCCGAGTCCTCCGCGAAGTCCAGGTCACGGAAGGAGAGAAGGCGCCGCTTCTTCACGGTGACCCGTGAGAGAGACCGGAGTGCGGGTCAGCTCGACAGGGGACCAGGCTCCACCCCCACTCAGCCTGCCTGGGCAGGGTGGCCTCCTCTGCAGGGGCCTCAACTTCCCGGAAACACACCGGAGTGAGCCCCGGGGTGGCGAGGGGCTCAGGCTGCCCCCTGTGCCTTCCCCCACCAGGTCTTGGTTCCCCAAGCAGTACTGAGCCCTGCGGTCCCTTCCTGGGGGCTCCTGGGGCAGGGGCAGAGGTGGCCTGGGCTTTGGGTTACTGGGGCTCGCCGGCTCCAGGGAGAGAGGTGGGCGAGCTGCCCAGAGCACCACGCGCTTGGTGAGCACGTCAACCACCAAATCCCCCCTCGTAATTACCGTATGTTGATCCTTCAACCTTATTCCCTTATTCCAGGCCAGGAAAGCTTAGCAAAAGGCCCGGATCAAGTTTTCTCGTGAAAAAGAGGACCCTGTGCCTGTCCAGCAGCTGTGCAGATCTGTCAGGGTCTGAGTAGAGCCCTGGTCGCCTGGCCAGTCCCCTCGGCCTGCCTCTCTGCACCGGCATCCTGCCCGAGACCCTGAAGCCCAGGGCTACCTGGGCCCCACAGGGGTCCCACGCCCCCTGGGACCCTGGCTACCCCAGGGCATCCGGGCCTAGGATGCTGTGTGTCCTGGGGCTCCACTCAGAAGGGCCAGACCTTCCAGGGGGCTCTGCCCAGCCCGCAGCCCGGCTGGCACTCCTGGGTGAGCGCACGGCTCCTATCCGGGGCCCGGGCTCGGCTGGAGGGGGACTGACGGCAGGGGAGAGCGCTGAGACTCGCCGGAGAGCGGAACCGGACTTCAGGGAGGGGTGGGGGGCTCGGAGCGCCAGGGCAGGACTTACTTTGTTGCCAAGGGGCTGGGCCTGGGGCCCTGTGTCCGGCTGTCCGTCCTCGTCCGTCTGCTCACTGTCTCCACTTTTCTCCCCAGGGCTGAGCTCAGGCCCACCTGCAACAGGACGCTGCGTGGCTCCACCAAGGAGGCCCTGCCCTGTCCATCTACCCGCTAACCTGCCCCCCACCTGCCCACCCCCTCCAGCTTTCTTCCCTCCTTCACCCCTCTTTGATCCCCCCGCTGTACCTACCCATCCACCCATCTGACCACCTATCCACTCACTCACCACCTCCCTCCCCAGTCCACACACTCGTCCACTCGTCCACCCACACACCCTCCATCCACCCCCTGCCTGACCTGACACAGAGACCCTCACAGGGACAGAGGACAAACTAACTAACTAACTAACTAACCAACTAACTAACTAACCAACCAACCTGTTACTCTTTAAAATCATCATTTGTATTTTCTTCTGAGGCATCTGGGACATAAGAGTGCTTTTGCTAAAAATTAGCGACCCTCCCCTTGGGCCCGGAGGTCAGCAGGTACCTCCAAGCAGAACAAAGCTTGACTCGCACTTGTTTCTGTCTCCTGCACCCAGGGGAAGTTCTGGATCAGACCCTCCCTTGGCACTGGCACTGCGGGCCGGCGAGCTGACTATCGGGGTGCCTGCCGAACTGTCAGACCTGAATTTACAGGACTGCATCCCTCATCAAGAATGAGGACACCAAGTTAAGAGACGTGCAGAGATGTTCAACCCCCAGAGAGCACCCACAAGTTTCCAGTCATTGCCCTAACCCTAGCATCACCCTGGCCTCTGGCAGGGTCTCACCAGACTGAGACAGCGCCAGGCAGAAACCACCACACCCTGGAGCGGTCTTACGTCCTCCCGTGGTCCGGACTTCTTCCGGAGCCTCCTGCGGCCCAGAGCGGAGATAACAGGCAGCAGAGCCCAGCCACATCAGCTGCTCCGTGAAGGCTGGCCTGGTTCTTCCGCCCCTCGCATCAGGGCTGCGCCCACTTCAGCTCAAGCTGAAGCCCCTGACCTCTCCTCTTACTTCCCAACTCGGCCTTGTAAATCTGCCCATGCAGCTCACTGGTCCATCCTGAGGTGCTTTTCTGTGATAAGAGTCAACAAACCTACTCCACAGAGTAGATTGAGGCCCCATCTCCTCTTTGGG